TTTTTTTTTTTTTTGGTCTTTTTGAGACAGGGTCTCCCTGTAGCCCCAGATCAGCCTGCCTCTGTCTCCCAAATGCTGGGATTAAAGGCATGCGCCACACCCAGCTCCTGTTAAGGTTCTTTAAGGGGGTTTTTAATAGGCAGATAATAAATTCCTACTATGCATAACAATGAGAAATTATGTAGTATAGAAATTAATGCCGTGATTCTGTTTTTAATGTTTTTTTTCCCCCTCTATTACAGTTTCAGATTGGAGAACTGGCAAATACCCTGACAAGTAAATTTGAATTCCTAGGCATTAATAGACAGTCCATCTCCAATTTCCACATGCTACTCTTACAGACTGAGGTAATGTCATCTATTTTGGGCATTAATGGTAGTTTTTGTTTTTTTAATTTATAATTTTAAAGATTTCTTTTGTTTATATATCTGTGTTGTGTGTGTCTATGAGTGTATGCCATATGTGTGTTGGGTTGGGGTGCTCACAGAGGCCAGAAAAGGATGCCTGATTTCCTGGAGCTGTAGTTACAGGTGGTTGTGAGTCACCCAATCTGGATGCTAGGAATTCAACTTGGGTTTAAACTGTTGGGCCAACCAGCCTTTTGTATAGTTTTTTAATACATGTTTGGTGTGTACAAGTGTGTAGGTGTGTGCATGAGTGCCAGAGAAGACCCAAACTTGACATTGAGAGACTTCCTGCATTGCTTCCTACCATGTTCATTGAGAACTTACTGATATAGTTAGTTTAGCTAGCTAACTTGCTCAACTTGTGCTGTCTCCTCCTTCTGAGTACTGTATTTACAGGTGGGCCACCATACTTGCCTAGTTTTTGTATGGGTTCTAGGAATCTTCTGTTGTTGTTTTGGTTTTTTGAGACAGGGTCTCACTATGTAGCCCTGGCCTTGCAGTGTAGACCAAGCTGATTAAACTCACTGCCTGCCTCTGTCTCCAAGTGCTGGGATAAAAGGCATACACCAATACATTGAGCTCCATTCTGAGGTTCTTAAATCCAAATGACATTCTGTGTTAAGAATGTGTTTTGTGGGGCTGGAGAGATGGCTCAGTGGTTAAGAGCACTGACTGCTCTTACAGAAGCCCTAGGTTTGATTTCCAGAACTCACATGGTAGTTAACAACCATCTGTAACCGGCAGTTCCTGGGGGATCTGACACTATCTGACCTCCACGGGCATTGCACAACATGGGTGCACTTAAACATATGCAGGCAGTATATTCATACACATAAAAAATTTTTTTTTTTAAAAAAAACAAGAATGTGCATGGTGGTGCATGCCTTTAATCCCAGCAGGCGAATCTCTGTGAGTTTGAGGCCAGCCTGGTCTCCATCATGAATCCAGGACAGTTGGGGCAACAGGGAGACCCTGTTTCAAAAAGACCAAAAAAGAATGTGTTTTGTTGGCTGGGTGTGGCCCAGCACACAGGAGGCAAAGGCAGGCTGATCTCTGTGAGCGCTAGGCCAGCCTTGTCTACATAGTGAGTTGCTAGGCCATCTGGGGCTACAGGAAGACTATGTCTCAAAAAAACAAAAAAGATTTATTTATTTAGTGTGTGAATGTTTTGCCTGCATGTATGTATGAATGTATATGTACCGCATGCATATCTGGTACCTACAAATTCCAGAAGAAGGGATCAGATCCCTGGAACTGGAGTTATAGACAGTTGTGAGTGGGTGGGTGTGGGTGTGTGGGTGTGTTAGGAGTTGGTGTGTGTGTGTGTGGGGGGGGTGTTAGGATCTGAACCTACATCCTCTGCAAGAGCAGCAAGTGCTCTTAACTGTTGAACTGTATCTCTAGCCCCTTAAATAAAGATTTTTTTAAACAAATTCAGATTGCATTTGTAAGTCAGATTAGACCATGAATGTTAGTAATTGTTACAGCATTGTAAATCTGTTTAAGAAAAGTGAAAGCCAGGCATGGTAATGCATGCCTGTAATCCCAGCACTGGAGAGGTGACAGAGAGGGTCAGGAGTTCAAAGACTGGTCTTACTTTTCAGAACTCTGTAGTGCAAATAAAATTGTTTTGAGAAATTAAAATGAGATTTCTTTACCTTGTTGTTCTATTCTTATACTAGAGCATAGCAATACAGTCTTGAAGTATAATAAATGACTTATAGCCCTTTTACTTCCATCTCCTGACATAAGTCTTAATTCTGTGTTGATTATAGACTCGAATTGCAGACTGGCGGGAAGGGGCTCTTAATGGAAACTACCTAAAACGAAAACTTCAGGATGCTGCAGAGCAACTAAAACAGTATGAAATAAACGCCACTCCTAAAGGCTGGTCCTGCCACTGGGACAGGTACGCATCTTCTCCCCTTTTCACCTTTCACCTTTGACATCTCAGACATGATTTATGATGACCATCACCTGACGACATGACAGCCTGTCTGGAGACTGAGAGCAGCTTCATTTAGCAGTGCTGGCCAGGCAAGGCACTGCAAAAGAGTTTGGCCAGCCACACATTGGAGAAACAAAAAACAATGTTTAAAAGTGTTCCATGTAACGGATTTTTTCCCAAGATTGGACAAAGCCGGTTTTTACTCTCCAGAGTGTTGCACGGAGTAGGGCGGGCTTGGGGGTTAAGCGCATGCGAGAGCTCTGTGCGCTTTACAGGACCTCTGGAAGCAACTACTCCTGATTAACCTCGGTGAAGTTAAGGAAACTTCGTGGCTGAAGATGTGAATGAAGAGCAAGATTACTATCCTCTGCCAGCAGGTCAGATGAAAACATTTCTTTTTATATTTGGCTTTTCTTGATTTTTTTTTTTCGTTATTTGAAATCTTTGCTCTTTTATTTTTCAGCTCCCAGATCCTCTCCCTCTCTTTAGCTTTCACTGTGTTTGATACCAAGAATATGAAATGTGATTCCACGGTCCAAGAGGGGAAGAGTCACCTTTCACTTCGTTTGTTCTCTTCTTTGGAAGGGAAATTAGCGTTCTAGCGATTGAGTCCCTTCACTAGTGAAACTTGCAACCCTGTTATGCATTGGCAAAAAAACAAAAAGAAAGAAAAGGAAAAAAATGATTTCTAAGTCATCAGTTGGAGAGGGCTAAGGGCTGTATTCACAGAGCTGCTGGCAGTGCAAATAGCTTTGAATTATCCTGGGTTCTCCATCCTCAATTGTCAAAGCTCTTTGTTGCCTTTGTGAATAGCAGTCCATAAGAAGAGGTTCGTCCCTGTGAGAGCACACTGCTGTCCTGGGACAGGACCAAATGGAAGTGTCTCTGTAGGAGAACGGATTTTAAAACATGTGTTTTCTTTCTTGTAATTTAGGGATCATAGACGATATTTCTATGTAAACGAACAGTCGGGCGAGTCTCAGTGGGAATTCCCAGATGGTGAGGAGGAGGAGGAAGAAAGCCAAGCCCAAGAAAGTAGAGATGAGACTCTTCCTAAACCGACCATCAAAGACAAAACTGGCACTGATTCAAATTCTGCAGAACCCTCTGAGAATTCCACAGGTAGGACAGTTTATTGTGTACTGATTGAGCAGTGGTTTTAGAGAAAAGGACAATAATTTTTATTATGGGACAATTTATAACAGTAACAATGCATTGAAAAAATTGAACTTAAACTAAGAGGAAACTTGAGTTCTGCTGAAAAGAATAAAGTCCATGGCTAATCAGAAATCAGAATCATACATACCACAATCTACCATAAGAATAAAAGATGTACCACTATATTTTAATCTTAAAATAATTCATGTATTGAATACTATATGTCCTGTGAATAAAAATTCACACTAAGTTTAAAAATAAAAGATACCTATGCTTCTGTCATCACAAAGAAAAAGCTTTTGATCTACAAAAACAAGAATGGGAGCTGGGCATGGTGATAACACACGCCATTAGTCCCAGCACTTACTTGTAGGCAGAAGCAGGCAGATCTCTGAGATCAAGGCCAGCCTGGTCTATATTGTAAGTTCCAGGCCAGCTGGGGCTGCAAGGAGACCCTGTCTCAAAAAACCAAGCCAAAATAAAAACTGGAACAGCCATGAAAAGGACTAGGTAGTTGGACTCTTGTTTTATATTGAAAATGAAGATTGTTCATTTTAGCAAATACTTAATCCATTGATAACTGCAGAATCATCTCAATTTCACTAGTCAGTATTGTTGGTATAAATCAAAATGATAAGAAGAAAGTCTATGAATTACCTACTGTCCTAGTTTGAGAGAAGCAAAACAATCATTGAAAATTGCCAATAATACTTTTATATAAGATGATCAAAAGTAGGGGATGAGGCCAGAAGTCAACCTTGGGTCTCCTTCCTCAGGAGCCATCCACATTGTTCTTGACAGGATCACTTACCCGCTCTTTGATTAGATTAGGCAGACTGGCCCCTGCAGTGATACCTACTACAGCTGGCCTTATTTTTTAAAATGTGGATGCTGGGATTTGGGAATTGAACTGAGGTCGTCTTCATGTTTGTACCACAGCACTTTAATGACTGAGCCATCTCCTCAGCCCTTTACTATTTCTTTAATGGATGGGCTTTCATAGCTCCTGTTATTCCTAAAATCTAATTAACTGTTAAGAAGAATCACATTATTTGCTGCTTTATAAAATAAAAAAGCATTTTTTTCCTAAATTTTATTTTCTCCTTCCTATTTTTTTAGTGATACTGAGGATTGAACCCAGGATTTGCACATGATCCTCAGCATGTTCTCTGTAGCTATTGAGCCACAGGCCAGCTTATTTATAGTAAGATATCACCCAGTCTGTCCTTAAACATGTGATCCTCCTGGCTCAGCCCCCCAAATACTAGGATTATAGGCATGTGCTACCAAGAGACCTGTCTTCAAAAACCAGGTAGCTGTTTGTTAGAGTAAGAGACTGGAGTGATTTTTAAATAACTAGATCTCTGAAGATAGATGGATGGATGGATGAATGGATAGATGTTAGATAGATAGATAGATAGATAGATAGATAGATAGATAGATAGATAGATGGAACAAACTTTGGGGCTGAAGAGATGGCTCGGTGATTAAGAGCACTGACTGCTCTTGCAGAGGACCAGGGTTCAGTTCCTAGCACCCACATGACAGCTAGCAACCATCTGTAACTCCAAAATAAAACATTAAAAAGACAGGTCCTCACTATGTAGCCCTGGGTAGCCTTTCTGTGTAGACCATGCTGGCCTTGAACTCCCAGAGATCACCTGCCTTGGATTCCCAAGAAGATAGGAAATTTTTTAGGACATAAGGAATAAAGAGCCAGTTTCTTTTTGTCTTCTGCATACCAAAGTGCCTAGGGGCTTATGTCTGTAATCTTGGCTCTCGAGGGGCTGCAGCAAGAGGATGGAGAATTCGAGGCCAGCCTGGTGGATACCACCCCACTCCCCCCCAAAAAGTGCCTATGCTAGCAAGAAATTTATAATGCACCAATGAAATTGGTTATGTACCAGATGATTTTGGTCATATCTTTTAAGTAGCCTAGATAACATCACACAACCTAAAATTAAGCCACAGACTTAATTGATAATTTTAGAGCATAGTAAGAGTAGTTTTAGTCTGTATCACATCTCAGAAGTCTATTTGCACAAATCATAGGGCATTTTACTTTTTTCATGAAGACATTTATTATATAAGCTTTTAGTAGCAGTGATTGTCTTACAACAGATTGGTGGTTTTCCTTTGTTTCTTAATAGTGAATGAACTGAGACTTGACCTCAGTAAATAATCATCTACTTCCTTTTGTGTGTGTAAGAGAGAGAGAGAGAGGAGAGAGACAGGGTTTCCCTGTAGACCCAGCTGACCTAGAACTCACTGTATACCAGGCTGGCCTTGATCTCACAGTAATCCATCTGTCTCTGCTTCTCAAGTGCTGAGATTAAAGATAAACACCAATACACCTGGTGGCAATTCATTTCTTGGCCTCTGTCTTGTGTTTTTGAGATAGACCCCAGGCTGTTCTCAAACTCCAGGAAAGAATTATCTCAAACTCCTCCTCTTGTCTTCACCTCCCAGATGTTGAAATTCCAGATACACGCCACACTTTTTTGTTTTGTTTTGTTTTTTTGAGACAGGGTCTCCCTGTAGCCCCAGCTGGCCTGGATTCTCTATGGAGACTGGGCCGGCCTCAAATGCACAGAGATCTGCCTGCCTCTGCCTCCCGTGTGCTGGGATTAAAAGCATGGGCCACCACGCTCAGCCCACACTGCACTTTAAACATTAGGGTATTTTCTCCCATTGTTATTTTTTGTTTGTTTTTAAGACAGGGTCTCCCTTCAGCCCCAGCTATTTTTTCCCATTGTTTATGACAACCACAGTTGGTACTATCTGATAAAAGGTAGATCTTGAGCCATTCTTACCTGATTACACCAATAAGTTGCACTATAGAAGGAAACCATTGATAAAAGTAACTTTTACATTGTCAAGCTTCTCTTTATTGAGAACCCTTGGAACATACATGATAAACATAATATAAATAAAGTCTAAATCTTATACCAAAGCCAGTGAGATTTAAAATGTACCAGGCATGGTGGTGCATGCCGATAATCCCAGCACTCTGGAGGCAGAGGCAGGCTGATTTATGTGAGTTCAGGGATAGCCTGATCTACATAGTAAGTTCCAGGCCAGTTAGAGCTACAGGAAGTTAGCTAAATTTATAAGATAAATAATAGAGGGGTTGGAGAGATGGCTCAGTGGTTAAGAGTACTTGCTGCTCTTGAAGAGGACCTGGGTTCAGTTCACAGCAACTCACAACTACGTGTAACTCCAGACGCCCTCTTCTGGCCTCCGCTGGTACCTGCATGCAAGGTGCATGTACATATATATACTCAGGCACATACACATATAAAATGAAAAATAAATTTTTTTTTTTTGGTCTTTTTGAAGCAGGGTCTCCCTTTAAGCCCCAGCTGTCCTGGAACTCACTATGTAGACCAGGCTGACCTTGAACTCACAGAGATCCGCCTGCCTCTGCCTCCCGAGTGCTGGGATCAAAGGTGTGCGGCACCACGCCCGGTTCCTCTTCTTTTTTATTTTTGCTGGTTGTGAATCCCAGCACTTGGGGGGCAGAGGCAGGCAGATCTCTGTGAGTTCAAGGCCAGCCTGGTCTACATAGTGAGTTACAGGACAGTTGGAGCTACAGAGAGACCCTGTCTCAAAAGACCAAAAAAAGAATAGAAAAAATATATTTAAAAGATACTATATATGTGTTCTTTGTTGGCCCAACAGTAACCAAAGCCATCTTTTTTTTTTTCTGGTCTTTTCGAGACAGGGTCTCCCTGTAACCCCAGCTGGCCTGGATTTGCTATGGAGACCATGCTGGCCTCGAACTCACAAAGGTCTGCCTGCCTCTGCCTCCCAGAGTGCTGGGATTAAAAGCATGCACCATCACCCCCAGCTAAAGCCATCTTTTATAAAAGAAAAATGAGGCCAGTGAAATGGCTCAGTGGATGAAAGTGCTTGCTGGTCCTGACAACCTGAGTTCAATCCCTGGGATCCACATATTGGAAAGACAAAACTGACTCCTGAAAGCTGTTCTGTGACCAATACAAATATACAAAATAAAATGCATTATGAAAAGAAAAGAAAAATTATTTTGTGTATGAGTGTAGTGCCTGCATGTATGTGAGTGCACCCATGTTGTGCAGTCCCGTGGAGGTCAGAAGGGGGCTTCAGATTCCTCTGAAACTGGATTTAAGGATGGTTCATAGCCACCATGTGGGTGCTAGGAATCAAACCCAGGTCCTCTGCAAGAGCAGTCAGTGCTTTTAACCTCTGAGCCATCTCTCCAGCCTGGTTTACTTAATTTTTTAATCCTTACTCATTGTGCCAGTGTATGAGTTTAACATCGTATCTTCTAATGGTGGGATGATTATTTATGGTGGGTTAGTATAAGTGCAAGATACCTAGGAACAGTAGGTTTTGAATTAAAAATTTGTATCTCAAATTTTTTTCTTTTCCTCTTTTCTCTTTTTTCCTTTACTTCTCATTCTACAGTATTCTATCTTAAGTTTATAGTTTTAAAATCTTTTTTAAAAATATTTTATTATTTTTACCTGTATGAGTGTTATGCCTGCATGTAAGTAAATGCACCCATGTTGTGTAATACCCACGGAGGACAGAAGAGGCTGTTGGATCCTCTGGAACTGGACAGTTGTTAGCTGCCATGTCAGTGCTGAGATTCGAACCCGGGTCTTCAAGAACTGTCAGTGTTCTTAACTGCTGAGCCATCTCTCCAGCCCCAGTTTTAAAATCTTTCAGCAGGACAGGCATGGTGGTGCACATCATTAGTCCCAGCTTTAGAGAGGCAGAGGCAGGTGGATCTCTGTGAGTCCCGAGGCCAACCTGGTCTATATATAGCAAGTTCCAGGCCAGCCAGGGCTACATAATGAAACCTTGTCTCAGAACAAAAACAAAGTCTTTAACACATAATAAAGCCTGTTGATTTCTATTTTAATTTCCCATTGCATTTCAGTTTTAAATGCTCACTCTCAAAATTTAATATTTTATGTGTATGAGTGTTTTGCCTACGTTTATGTAAGTATATCATGTTCGTGCATCCTATGGAGGCCAGAAGGAAGAGGGAGTCAGATCACTTGGAATTGGAGTTACAGCCAGTTCTACATTGTGGGAGCTGGGAACTGAACCTAGGTCTTCTGCAAGACCAGCAAGTATTCGTTTTTTTTTTTAGTCTTTTTGAGACAGGGTCTTCCTGTAGACCCAGCTGGCCTGGACTTACTATGTAGACCAGGCTGGCCTTGAACTCAACAGAGATTCGCCTGCCTCTGCCTCCCAAGTGCTGGGATTAAAGGTGTGTGCCACCACGCCCATCCTCATTTTTAACTGCTGAGCCATTATCTCCAGCCCCAACTTAAAAAAAAAAAAGTTTTATTTATTTTTATTTATATGTGTATCCCTGTATGTATGTGCCTGTATGCAGTACCTACAGAGACCAGAAGAGGGCCACAACTCCCTTGGAGCTGCAGTTACAGGCATTTATCAGCCACCTGATGTGGGTGCTGGGACCAGAGCCCTGGCCCTCACTGTAGAAGTACTTTAACCACTGCACTGTCCAGTCCCATTGTTTTTAGCTTTTTGAGACAGAATCTCACTGTGTATTTTAGGCTGAACTTGCACTTACTCTGCAGCCCAGGCTGGCTCAGATTCAGAATTCTATTGCCTTAGCCTCCCAGATGTTAGGATTACTGACTTGTGCCACCGTGCCATCTAAAGTAGCATTTTATTTTAAACTTTTCTGTGCTTAAGCTAAAGAATTAGTAGTTTTGAGATAACAAACTTTTTTTTTTTTGTCTTTTTGAAGCAGGGTCTCCCTGTAGCCCTTAGTAGTTTGGTATTCAAGTATTCTAAAAATGTATTCTTGTATTTGGTATTCATGTATTCTAAAATACATGACTAAATTTGTTGGAGGTGTGTGTGTGTGTTTTGTTTTGTGTTATGTATTTTTAAAAACAGGGTTGAATGTTTCCCAGGCTGGCAAAGAATTTGCTGTGTAGTCCAGGATGACTTAGAAGTCATAATCCTGGGCTGGAGAGATGGCTCAGCAGTTAAGAATACTGGTTGTTCTTGTTGAAGACCCGGGTTTGAATCCCAGCACCCACATGGCCACTAACAACTGTCCGTAACTCTAGTCCCAGGGGGTCCAACAGTGTCTTCTGACCTCCAAGGGCATTGCACGACACAGGTGCACTTACCTACATGCAGGCAATACACACACATAAAATAAAAATAAACAAATAAAAGTCAAAGTCCCTGCCTCTACCCAAGTACTGGACAGTAATCACAGGTGTTTGCTACCATGCCTGGTTTTACGTGGTGGGGTAGCACCTAGGGCTCCTTGGCATGCTAGACAAACACACTACCAACTGAGTCACATCCCCAGCAAATGGAGTTTAATCCCATAATACTTAGTTACACAAGATTTAGTTAATTCTGATTGGTTTTGCTGGTATCTTAAACCACATTATTAACCCTGGCCTGTTTTATTCCTTTGATGTCCTCTGTATAGCAACATGTCACCATTATAAATGTGGTATTATTGCATGATACTTGTAGATAAGAAACTTGGCATGGTTGGGCCTGGTGGCCCATGCACTTAATGCTAGGGCACTTGGGAAGCAGGCAGATTACTGTGAGTTTGTGGCCACCCTGGTCTATATAGTGAGACCCTGTCTCCAGAAACCAGAAAGAGAGAGAGAGAAATCTGCCAGTATTATGAGAACTGACATACTTATTTACTATATGTTATAACTAATTTAGTAGGAGAAAGTTTAATTCTTGATGTACTGTTATATAATGTAGGCTTTTTAGCCGTACCCATATTTGGGGCGGGGTGGGGATCAAGTTAGTCTTTTTTTCTGAAGTCTTAGCTTTTTCTCTGAACATGATAGGTAACTAAATTCATTTTACTTGATGCCAAACACAAAAATGAGCCATTTGGATTCTTTTAGCTGGAAAACCGCATTCATGTTTCCTAGTAAACTTTTTTCAGTACCATTTTTCTTAGCAGTAAGGAATGTCTCAATAATTATAGAAATAGTATGAATTATCTTAATATACAATGTACCACTTGTCTGTTCTTTAAAAAGCTACTCTAAAAGCCAGATGGCCTTTGGTTGTTTGGGTTTTACTCTCTCACATGTCACTTATAAATGGCTATTTGGCCTAGAGTTTTTCTTAATGGATCCCTTATTTAATCCAATTTTGACCATGAATTTTTGACAGGTGGCTGCGTCTGAATTTTCACACCATCAGAAATGTGATTTTAGATTCCAAAGATTGTAAGCTCCTATTTTACCAGGACTTCTTAGAATAGAGCTAGAAAACACTAGGCCAGGAGTCAGACCCAATCTTTTAACTCGGGCTTGGCCACCAACAGCTGTGTGATCTCGAGATCAATAAGTTCCGGCCTGGGTTTTATTACCTTTAAAATGAGGAAGTTGAACTAGATGATTGCTCATGTTTCTTCTACTCCCGAATTCTATGATTTTAGGGAGAAAATCCCCTCAACATTCCTGGGATAAATATCTAATAGTCCCATATATTGTGAAACGTCCCTATTGACGATAAAGAGGGATGGGGAAGGCTACAAGTAAGTATATCCTCCTCTTTTCTCTAATCTTTGAAAAGCTTTTCCCAGCAAAGAAACTGCAACATTTAGTGATAACTTTGGTGAGTGGTGAAATTTGAGAAAAACTGGTTCTGTAACCGACTGAAGTTTCAAATCCTCTACATCTTTAAACGTCTTTTGAAAATCTCAATTACCATTTACATTTTTTTCTTCCTAAAGTTTCCTTTCAGTCATCACAGAACTAAAAATTACCCTCCCTTTCTGTTTGTATGATTTAAGCAAATGTAATTTGCATAGACATGAAAGAATGAGAGTTCACAGTAACATCACGCAAATACATTTTTTAACTTGTAACTCAGGTTAATCAAAATGGGTGGAACTTGTGTTTTAAATGGGTTTTCACTGTGGCATCCTACTTGCTTAACTAGCTCATTAAAAAATAAAATACGTGGAATTGATATTACAGATATACATGATTTCACTTACCTCTTCACTTTTGAAACAAAAAATAACCCAGAGAATTGCCTTCTTATGTATGTTTAAATAAATGTTTGATACAAAAATTCCAGAGGCTGGAGACCTGGGTCAGCTGTTAAGAGCACATATTGCTTTTGCAGAGGACCTGCATTCAGTTAACAGCACCAACATTGGACAGTTTACCCCTACTATAACTCCGGATCTGGAGGATCTATTATGCTCTTCTGGACTCTGAGGACACATATACATACTTAGACACACATACATACACATAATTAAAAATAAAGTCAGCCAGGTGTAGTGGTGTATGCCTTTAATCCCAGCACTCGGGGTGGAGGCAGGCGGATCTCTCAGTTCAAGGCCAGTCTGGTTTACATAGTGAGTTCCAAGACAGCTGGGGCTACAAGGAGAACCTGTCTCAAAAAGACCAATAAATAAATAAATAAATAATAAATAAATAAATTAATTAATTAAATAAATAAAATCAGTCTTGTAAAAAATTGTAAACTACAGATTTGGATGACCAAATTTCTCATCTTGTAATGTGATATTCTTATCCATAATTCTGGACTCAAAAGAATAAGGCTAGGATAATACAGGTAGGGAAAGTTCAGGATCATAAGTTAACCCTTCATAGAGGTCATTTCTGAGTTCAACTATTCAGTATTTAAATGACATCAGTGTAGAATAGGTGCCTATGGGCCTGATTTTTGTTACAAAAGGGAGAGCTAGATAGTGCTTGCCGTTTGAAACCACTATGCACACTTGGTTGATATTGATGTCTGTTCTACTGGTCAAATGAGTGTTAGCTATTTGTCTAGGTTTTTCCCTGACTACTGTCTGTTTTCATAGGTTCTCTTTGTAAAGAATCATTTTCTGCTCAAGTTTCTTCTTCGTCACTCATGCCACTTACTCCATTCTGGACCCTTCTTCAGTCAAACGTACCTGTTCTTCAACCTCCATTACCTCTGGAAATGCCACCGCCCCCACCTCCACCACCTGAATCTCCTCCTCCTCCTCCTCCACCTCCTCCCCCACCTCCTCCTTTAGAAGATGGTGAGATTCAGGAGGTAGAAATGGAGGATGAGGGAAGTGAGGAGCCTCCTGCCCCAGGAACAGAAGAGGATACTCCTTTGAAACCTTCAACCCAGACCACAGTTGTAACTAGCCAGGTAATGATGCTCTTGGCATTCTGATGTTGATGGGTAGGTACTGGCGCATGGTGAGCATCATGTTTTGCTAGGTCTTCAGCTACTGACTAGAATGCTTGTGTTTCAGAGTTCAATTGATTCTACCACCGCTAGTCCTTCCACTAAAGCAGTGAAGAGAAAGGCTGCAGAAATTAGTACTGCAGTGGTTCAGAGATCAGCTACCATTGGCAGTTCTCCAGTTCTCTACAGCCAGTCAGCTATAGCTACAGGTAAGTATCATGATTAAAGTGAGTTTTTCCTCAATATATTGTTTCTGTTTCTAGCATTAGATGAGGTGTTTTGATTGCAAATGTTGTTTATATGTATTTCTTCGAGTTGCTAAATAATTGCCCTTAAAATTTTTCATGTATCCATGCCAGGTGTGGTGGCGCACGCCTTTAATCCCAGCACTCGGGAGGCAGAGGCAGGTGGATCTCTGTGAGTTCAAGGCCAGCCTGGTCTACATAGTGAGTTCCAGGACAGCTGGGGCTACAGGGAGACCCTGTCTCAAAAAGACCCCCCCCCAAAATTTTTTTTTTCATGCATCCTGTTGCATTTTTCTCTGTGCATTTACATATACTGGTGATTTTGATATTTAGGTAAAAGGTATATTGGAATTGTGTTGTAAGTGATTTCTTTTTCTTTGCCTCTAGTGTTGTTATAGTGTCCTTTTTACAGCATTTTGTTTCCTGTGTTAGGTCACCAAGCAACGGGGATTGTGCACCAGGCTGTGGCGATTGGACACCAGGCAGTATCAGTTAACCATCCAGCAGCAGGAATGGGTCATCAGGCAAGAGGATTAAGCCTACAGTCAAGTTACCTTGGACTAGCAGCAACACCTACAATTATGAGTTACGCCGAATGTTCTGTCCCAATTGGAGTAACTACTCAGGCATTGCAGCCAGTTCAGCCTCGAGGAACTATGCCAACCACTGCTGTTACAGAACCACCACCACCTCCCCCTCCTCCACCTACACCACCACCACCACCACCAGCTCCCAAAGTGCCACCACCAGAGAAGATGAAGAAAGGAAAAAAGGATAAGGTGAATCTTTTCAGACTTTTTTTCTGTTAAATTTGGGGAGGGTCCTAAGGATGTAGCTTAGTGGTATGGTTCAAACCCTATTACCCAAATTTTTTATGTGAGTTTTTTTGCCTGCATGGATGTAAGTGCATTACATGGATGTGTGTAATGCCACAGAGGCCAGAAGAGGGTGTTGGATCCCCTAGAGTTACAGATAGTTGTTAATCTCCTGTTCTCTGTAAGAATAGCCAGTGCTCCCAGAACTTGGGAGGCAGAGGCAGGTGGAGCTCTATGAGTTCCAGGACAGCCTGGTCTACATAATGAGTTCCAGGACAGCTGGGGCTACAGGGCGACCCTGTCTCAAAGAGCCAAAAAAAAATAGCCAGTGCTCTTAATCAATGAGCCATCTCTCCTGTCCCCAGTTTGAGAGTATTTGAATATATTTACAGTGTGGTACAACAACCATTTTTGTTTAATTACAGAATGTTTTTATAGCCTCAAAAGACTGCTTTGTAGCCATTACGCAGTCTCTCCCCTTTTTCCCTTTCTGTATCCTGCTTTTTGCTCTGGATCATTTGCCTGTTCTGGTTCATTTAAATGGAATCATGCAGTTCGAATCTGGCATCCCTCACTTAGCATGCCATGTTAGTAGTTAATTCCTTCTGTCTGGTTAACGTTGCATTCTATATGTACCTCAGTTTGTTTATCCACTCATTACTTGATGGGCATTTGATTTGTTTGTATATACCACTTGACTGTTAGGAATAGTGCCTGTCGGTATTCATGTGTAAGTTTTGAGTACCTGTTTCTGGTTCTTTGGGTATTTGTTAATACTTTCCCTTTTTTCCCCCCCCTCACTAGCCCTAGCTGGCCTTAAGCTCCTGTCTCCTAAGTGCTGGGATTAAAGGCATGTGTGATCACACCCAGCTGGGTTGAGATTTTTTTTAAATCAGGTTTTATGTGTTAAGCACTCTCTGGATTCACTATTAATCAATTTTTAAAAGATTTATTTATTTCATATGTATGAGTGTTTTCCCTGCATGTATGTATGTGCATCATGTGCATGTCTGATGCCGTCACAGGCCAGAAGAGGGTATTAGATTTCCTGGAACTGGAGTTAAGGGTGATTGTGAGTTGCCATGTATGTGCTGGGAACCAAACCTGGGTCCTCTGCAAGAGCAGTAAATGCTCTTGACTGCCGAGTCATCTCTCCAGTCCCAGTATTTTATTTCGTTTGTTCTTTGCTGGCTCACAATGGCCTATATTAGAGATGTTTGAAGGGTGCTGGATTGTATATATGACACATGTAGAATCAATGGCTTTCAAGATACCACATCAAACGGAGCCACATTGCCACATTAATATACTGGCCTGGTATTGGTTTTGTAGATCAGGCTGGCCTTAAACTCACAAGAGATCCACCAGCCTGTGCCTCCTAAGTGCTGGGATTAAAGGCATGCGCCACCACACCTGGCCAGTTAGGCATTTTTTCTCAGAGTTTTTGGAGACCTTGTTCAAGAGATCTGTTTGTCTCCGCTGCATGTGGTGGTGAACACTTGTACACCCAGCACTGGGGAGAAAGAGGCAGGATTGTCTCAAGTTTGAGGCAAGCCTGGTCTAAGTAGTGAAACCCTGTCTTTGACGAGGGAAGAGTGTTAGGGTCCGTGACTCGGTGGGTCTCTTCAGGAGAACAAATGCACCAGTATGGAGATGCAAAAATCAAGCAGAGTTTTATTAAACCAGCTAGCTGGGGCCGACCGTCCTTCCAAGACACACAGTCTGGTTAGAGTGATCGACCCTGAGGCAATTTCAGGTAAAGATTATATAGGCTCCCACAACCGTAACAAAAGCCCACGTTTATACAACCAATAGTTTCAAAGCAAGCATTTCACAAACCAATAACTTCAAAACAAGAAAAAATGTTACAACTCCCTTCAGGTGTCTCAGTTGGGGAAGGGTGGGTGGTATGTGCCTGGTGCAACCCTTCCCTGTTATCTTGTGTAAGCAGACATGCCTACGTGACATGACACAGACCAGACAGGTCAGGCTACGGGGGGCTGTAGCACTTGCCCCTATCTCCGGATGCCTGTGTCTCCAGTTGAGTTAATTGGTTACAAGCAGTAAATTCAGACAAGCAGTAAATTCCTCTTTCCCTAACAAGGAGAAAGAGAGCTAGTCATGTAAATCACCAAATCATCTTGGGAGCCTGTATCCAGTCCTCATCTGCACACCTGCCAAGTTTACAGCTTGCCCTGTTGACAGTTTTGCCTCTCCAAAGATGAAAAAAGACAGTCTTACAATGCCTGATGTAGTGGCTCTAATTTCACATGACTACCAACTTCAAAAAACATGCTTTTGGTATATGCTATGTGTCAGGTGCTGTTTTTAGGGGCTTGGGATTCATAAATGAATCAGACAATAATCTCTGCCTTTATTATGCTTCCCTTATGGTGAGTATGGGAGGGGGCCAGGCAAATGTATGGTATTTTTAAAAGGGTAAGGGCAAAAGTGGTCTTTGGAAGATGATGTTTCCCATGAGGTACTTAACTAAAGGGAAGGTCTCTGCTAAGGTAGCAGTGATCAGAAGCCTGGCTGGAATGAACGAGCGAGCAGGCCATATTTTTACATTAAGTACATGTTTATAGACAATGTAGAGAATTAAAGTAAGCTAAGGAAAAAATGAATTTTTTATGCTGTGCTGGGTATTGAACCCAGGGCCTTGTACTTGCTAGACAAGTTCTACCACTGAGTTATATCTGTCCTTTATTTCATATTTAATAATTGCCATTGGTCTGGTTGCTCTTTCAGAAGTTAGGTCTTTGTTTTTTCAGCTGTCTTTATCACTTGATATGCAGACCAATTCTGAGGCGATAAAGACGACAGTTCTGAATTTCAGTGAACAGGAAGAAGGATCAGGGGCTTGGAGTATAGCTCAGGGGCAGAGTACTTGCTTAGCCTGGATTCAGTTTCTAGCCCTAGGGGACAAGGGAGAAGAATGTAGAATGAGAAGGCTAAGGTAAGATATTCTGGATCGATCTAAGCACATTTATTCCTTAGACTCAGAAAAAGATCTTGATCTCCAGTGTAAATGGTCTCATTTCTTTGTTTTATGTATTATATTCCTCTGATCTTTAACCTTTGTTACAGACAAAGAAAAGTAAAACCAAAATGCCATCTTTGGTAAAGAAATGGCAGAGTATCCAGCGGGAGTTAGATGAGGAAGATAATTCAAGTTCCAGTGAAGAGGACAGGGAATCCACTGCACAGAAGCGAATTGAGGAATGGAAACAGCAGCAGCTAGTCAGGTAAAGGGACGCCAAGATTGGGGTGAGGGGTTGTGGCATTGTGGTCCTAGACTAGTCATACTCTTAAAATCACAGCCCTTCATGGAGAGTATACTGATACTTGGCTGAGAAACTTGAAATATTTTCCTGAATGGACATTATAGGTAGGAAGCAAACAGCTCTTTCTTTCCAGTGAAATGATACTATGTGTGTTGTTTTCACAGTGGCATGGCAGAGAGAAATGCTAATTTTGAAGCTCTTCCTGAGGATTGGCGAGCAAGACTCAAGAGACGGAAAATGGCTCCAAACACGTAGTTTTAAATTTGAAAAAGTTTTTTTTGTTTTGTGTTCAGTCTTAACCAGTTTTAAACTGTTGTCAAATGAACAGGGAAGAGCCTATACATTTCTTGGGCAAGAACATGTGCATATAATGTCCATTTATGAAATGTTTTTGTTTGCTGAAGATGAGGTGATTGGAATTGCTTTGACCTGGCTGCCTTATTCTCACATTGGCAAACTTAGCATGTTATCAGTCTTGAGGACCATGTGGCCCATGAGCATGACACCTCTGTGTAGGATTGCTGGCAAAACTGAAGGACTTCCCACCCAGTAAAGGCTTGTTCACTTCCTAGTGTGGCACTCTTTTTTTTGACTTCTACTCCAGAACAAGTGCAATTAAGAAGGCAGCTCTGTACCCTACCTTGCTTGACCATCAGAATCTCATTCTGACCTCTTCCTCTAGACTGCTGCCCCTGAGGTATTGAGATCTGTCAAGTGGTATAGCTTTTGCTGATGACCACACTCTAGAGTAATTCTCAGAAATCCTACAAGAGTCATTTTACACACTAGGTGGCATATTTAAATACAGGCAGGAGTAGCAGCAGCAGGTGTTCAGATCCTTGATTTTGAGAAATTCCCCCTAAGTATGTGGCACTTAGTGTAAGTGTAATGAGCCACTCTGTGCATTGTGTCTCCATTGTCCATACCCTTCCAGAATTTACCTTCTGTGTGTGAATGTATTCTCCATAAAATTCCAGTATTTAAGAAGCAGTTCACTGTCATTTACTTTCTATTATATCACAATCAGGAAAAGTCACTTTAAACTGAAGAAAAGGCAAATTGTGTTTTAAAGCTGTTTGTATTTCTCCAGTTTCTGACCTTGTAAATTTGTATATATGCACTAATAAAGCTCTTTTTATACTTCTGATGGATATCCTTTTGCTCTTCTAAGCTTGTTATTCCAATTACATAACCGGGACTTAATGTCAGTTCCTAATTGTTCTATTCACATATGGTGCAAGGTATGCACTGACATTGAAAATCATTCAGGGAAAAGGATCTTGGCGGTTTAGGGAGACAGGACTCTCTAGCACAAGATGGTGCTATGTGTGACTATATTAATATTAGTTGATATTTGACCTACTTAAAACCTGGGAATGCTTTAATGTGGTTAACATTTGTGGCGAAGGTGCTTTATAAGCTTTTTTTTCTTTTTAAGTAATACAAAGCTGATTATTGAGTATAATCACATATTTAACCAAAGATAATAGTTTGGATATTATTGCAGTATATTCCTGTACTTGGAGTTAAATTTTTTTACCTGTCCAGTGACGTGTATATAGTGTGTTAGATTTTCTTTGCCATATGCTAATATTGAGATGCATATTTTGTATATAAAATTGTTATTTGCATAGAGTAAATTTCTACAAATAAAGGTTATCAACTAGCTTTTGTCTTAACTACCTGCTTTTTCTAGACTTGCAGGAATTGCTGGAGAGCACCAGAGCTGCTTCACTATGGACACAATGGTTGTATGGTTTTAGAGAGGTTTGCTTGAGTTTGTTTCTAGTTTTGCTGACTAGTCCTTCACTGTAGGTGATTTTTCCATGCTAGCTATAGGGTAGAGGAAATAAAAGGTCCAAGCGTTTAGTGGCCCGTGAATGTCAGCAGTATAGTAGGAGGACAGGACACTTCTCATTCTTTGCCCAGCTGGCCTGTCGACACAGCTTAATGAGAGATTCTAACTCTAGCTTTCATGAAAGATGCATTCTTAAAATGGGATGTCTTGGGCCTGGTGTGGTGGCACACACCTTTAATCTCAGCATTTGGGAGGTAGAGGCAGGTAGATCTCTGAGATTGAGGCCAGCCTGATTTACATAGTCCAGGAGAACTGGGGCTATAGGGAGACCCTGTTTCAAAACACAAACAGGCTGAAGAGATTTCAAAACACAAACGGGCTGGAGTGCTTAGCAGTTAAGAGCACTGACTGTTCTTGCAGAAGACTTGGGTTTGAATCCCAGCACCCACATGGTGGCTAACAACCGTTTATAACTCCAGTTTCAGGGAATCCAGCGCCCTCGTCAGTCCTCCACTGGCATTGCATGACGGGTATGCTTACATACATGCAGGCAACACATGCATACACATAAAAATAAGGGGCTAGAGAGATGGCTCAGTGGTTAAGTGCACTGATTGCTCTTACAGAGGACCTGGGTTCAATTGCCAGCACCCACATGGTGGCTAAAATCCATCTGTTAACTCCAGCTCCAGGGGAATCTGATGCCTCCTGACCTATGGCATTACACAACACAGGTGCACTTGCACACATGCAGGCAATGCACTCATACACAGAAAATAAAAATACTAAGAAATAATTAAAAACCAAGAAACAGGACAAACAAAAAAGGGGGTGAGTGTGGAGAGAGCACTTAAGAGCACCAGTGTTCATTTGCCAGCACTTACAGGCATCCCACCACCACCTGAACTCCATCAAGCTCCAGTGCCCTCGTCTGCCCTCCACGGGCACCCTCACATTCGTATGCACATACTTGTATACAAAAAAAAATGTCCAGTTCAATTCAAAGCTATCATAAGGGGGGAGGGGAGGAAGACATTTTAAACTCCCAATCCATGGGAGAGGAGATGATGGAGAATGAGCAATTCCCTCTCACGAAGACAGCCCCTGGCCTTTGCGAGTGTATCTGGTTTTAAGCTTGCTTGGGTGTTTGCTCGAAGCTTTCTCAAATACTGTGAAGGCTACCAGCACTGTACTCGTCAATTTCGGTTCTCAGATTTGGGCCCTGAAGTTTGAAAATGGGCTGGAGAGATGGCTCAGCAGTTAAGAGTACTGGCTGCTCGTGAACTGGCAGCTTACAACTCCAGTTCCCAGGGATGCACGCCCCTTGTCTCTAACTCCACTTCCGAGAGATGCAAGCCCCTCTTCTGGCCTCCGTGGGCATTGCACGCATGTGGTGCACTTGCATTCAGGGAAAACATTCGTACATATAAAAATGAAGACAAAAGAAAAGAAAAATGAATGAATCCTTGCTATCTGAACTACAAGTCGCCTGGCACCACCGGGTTCCCTGCGGGGACCTGCAGGCGGCTTCGCCCTCCTTCCGCTTCCGGCTGTTGGTTGCTAGGCTCCCTGGGTCCGAGCAGCAAGAGGCAGCAGGTGAGCCCAGGCGCGCCCGGAGGGCGGGTTCGGGGGTGCGCGGCCGGCCTCTGCCCCAGGACGGGTTGTTAAGGCGGCACCCACAGCTGCCCCCACCGGACGGGTCGGACGGCCGCGGGGAACCTCCACCCTCCCGCAGCTCCGAACCGGACGTTTCCAGGGCCCGCGACCCCTGACCTCGCCTTTTCAACCGCTCGGAGTCTACCCTTTCCTGTGGTTTCTCTGTGGCGTCCTGGGGTCGGCATCTCTTCTCAGCCAAAACTAATGATGCGGCCAGAGAGGGTCCCGGGGCGCTGGGAAGACCCGGTGACCAGACAGGCGCCCTCCCAGGGGCTTCCCAGGTGCTTGTGCTGGGCTCCCGAAGTCGGGCGGAGGGTGGCAGAGGGCCGGAGCGCAGCTTTTGCGTCTGTTTCTTTCCCTTTTCTGGTTTGGAAATTAGGCAGAGATTGCAGCTCGGTGCGGCGCCGCTGACTGTCTAGCCTACAATGCAGCAGTAACATGTTCCCAGCGTTGGAAACGGAACTAAAACAGGAGGTGGGTACACACCCCTCCCCAGAGCTCCACAGAAACCCCATCCTGAGACAGAAAGTATATTCTGGCGGCATCTTTGCCCAGCTAGAGGTTTATCTATGTTTTTGATTGTCTTTGTTTTGTTATGTGTTTTTTGAGGGGTGAGACAGTCTCTGTAGCCCAGGCTAACCTGAAACGCGGTAATCCTACCTCCATTTCCCCTTGCTGGAATTACTGGTGTGTCCCACCACACTTGCTCCAGCCAGAGATTATGATCCCCAAGATAGAATAATTCAGTTAATTTGCATGGATTTTATTCGATTTGTTACTGTGTCGTATGTGCCAGTTTTTGGCTGAAGAGATGGCTCAGTGGTAAGAGCAAGTGCTGCTCTTGCAGAGGAAACTGGGTTCTGTTCCCAGAACCCACTCAGTCTATCTGTAACTCCAGTTCCAGGGGGGCCGACGCCCTCTTCTGGCCTCCATTGGCACCAGGCATGCATGTGGTGCACATCCATACAAGCAGGCTAACATTAATTCGCTTAAAATAAAAGTAAATCGCCTGGCGTGGTGGCGCATGCCTTTAATCCCAGCACTCGTGAGGCAGAGGCAGGAGGATCTCTGTGAGTTCAAGGCCAGGCTGGTCTACACTGTGAGTTCCAGGACAGCTGGGGCTTCAGGGAGACCCTGTCTCAAAAAGACATAAATAAATAAATAAATAAATAAATAAATAAATAAATAAATAAATAAATATCCTAAAGGGCTGGAGAGATGACTCAGCAGCACTGGCTGCTCTTGCAGAGGACCTGTGTTTGGCTCCCAGCACTCACATGGCTGCTAAAAACCATTTGTAACTCCAGTTCCAGGGGCTCCAACACCCCCTTCTGAACTCCATGGATATTGCATGACACTGGTGCACTTGCATGAAGGCAGGCAATCATACACATAAAATAAAAATAATACTACAATATTTTTTAAATTCTAAAAAAAAAGAATTCAGTATCATTCACAACTGTCCTGATTGAGAATACCTTTTCTTTCACAGACTCTTCCTGATCCCTATGAAGATTTTATGCACCATCACCTCCAGTATTATGGATACTTTAAAGGTAATACTGTGCTCCTTTCCAACATCACCTTTTCTGGGTTCACCAAGTTGAATTTTTGCATTAACTGAAAGAGTCATGTTTGGATAAACTCATATTTTTTCTAGCCTATTAATTGAAGTACTTCTGTCTCCATTGAATTACCATGTCACCTCTTTCAAGTGACAGACTCACTATGTACAGAAATAAAAGTCTGTTCTAGACTCTCTGTTTTATTGGTCTGTTTTTCCATCAGTGCACCAATAACTACCAACATTGAATTACTGTATAACATTAAAATAGTCTTTTTTATCATTTTATTTTATTTTATTTTGGTCTTTTTGAGACACGGTCTCCCTGTACTCCCAGCTGTCCCAGAACTCACTATGTAGACCAGGCTAACCTTGACTCACAAGGATCCCCAAATTCAGGGACTAAAGGCATGTGCCACCATGCCCAGCTTTTTTTTTTTTTTTTTTTTTTTTTTTTTTTTTTTGAGATAAAACCTTACTATGTAGCTCTGGCTGGCCTAGAACTTATTACGTAGACCAGGCTGGACTTTGAATTCAGGGGTATCTGCCTACCTCTGCCTCTGAGTGCTGGGATTAAAAGTGTGTGCCACCACACCTGGCTATCCCCA